TGAATTAATGGGCCCTTATAAAACTTGTTCCTGTATTAAACATCTACCGAAGTACAAGGACGTATTAAAAGCCGAAGCCTGCATTATTCTAGATTACAAAAACTTTCATGTAGCATAGTAATTATTTGTTCTACCATCAATTATACAATACAACTAGAACACCAAACAGTTGTTTCTCTCACCTTTACTTACATAACAGAACTGAAATAATTACAAGCTAAATCATAAACTTCATAATAAATGAGCTGCATTATGACAAAACCAACATAGTGTGTTTGCGACCAGCATGGATCCAGACCAGCCTGCGCATCCGCGCAGTCTGATCAGGATCCATGCTGTTCGCTTACAAACCCTACAACAAATAGAGAAAGCCTACAACAAATAGAGAAACTGATAACAAACAGCATGGATCCTGATCAGACTGTGCGGATGCGCAGCTGGTCTGGATCCCATGCTGGCCGCAAAACCCATTATGTTGGTTTTGTCGTGATGCCGGGCTCAAATACTGATTTACCATAGGGAAAATCCACATACCAACTTAGTAAAATTTTATCTTCAAAAACGTAGCTCTAAATGCCCTTCAGGTGTTTTGCAGCTTTCTTGATCTGACCTCTGACCCCACTGACAGTACGAACACTTGCTCCCTCAAACTTAGCTACTTCAAGTGCAGAATTGAACATACCCTGTCACAAAAAGGTGAAAGTAAGAATATTAAATATACATATGGCATGATGCATAACTCTGTTAATAATTATATTAGTCAAGCAGAATACTGAAGGAAATAGTTAAACATAACCTGGGTAACCCAGACATTATGTATAGACCATAAAAAAGTGATTATTTATGACAGGTGACATGTAATCAAATAAAATGTAAGTGTACTATAAAATTTTTGACAGAGAAAAATTAACAAAATAGAAAGTACCCATTTGGGCAATCAAAATTTAAAGTTGTCTTAGTGTAATGTTTTCACGCCAAAAAAAATTCTAACACCAGCCAATGTCGTAGCAAATCGGTTTTGCGGAACATTATTTTTCAAAATTTTGGGCATTAGATTATTTACAATCAGTCACTCTTTATCGCTATGTACTAAATTCAAGTTATAAATTGTTAAAATTTATTGAATACCGAAGATTGTGAAAAATAACATTCTGGAAATGACCAATTTATTACGATATTTGCCGATGTTAGTATTTTTTCATATTTTGAGAAAGCATTACAGTAAGACTACCCTAAGAAAATTTTTTAAAAATCTGCGTGAAAAATCCTTAAAAACAAAAAACAAATAAACGGAAAATTTTTTATTTTATCAAATCCTTTTACCTGGGTAAAAGTGTTTTGTTTATTCTTTTGAGGGTTCCCGAATTTTTAAATTTTTTTAAAAACTTGTGGACTTTTCAAACTCTAAAATACACCCGTTCCAGCTATACGGGAAATCAGCCTGCAAAAAATGTAAACAATTCAATCATACACCTAAAACACTAATATTACTATAGTTAACATTTTGGCCAGCTGGCAGCAAATGATTCTACCCATGTGACCAGTGCTGACCAAAATCAGCCGGCACTTCAATGTTCGCTATTGAGTCAGTACGTACTTATTTTGAAATTTCCTCAAAAAAATAAGAAAGGTTGTGTCCATCCAGACTCAAAGATATCCAAGCCCATTCAAGATAATTAACATGGCAAGGGTTAATTATATAAAATAGTAAATGAATGACTCCTTTGTTAATTGCCAATCAACAAACTATTGCAAAATATGAACTATTGAAAAAGTAAATTGCCACAGAAAAATGTAAATGGTCATCAAATTATGATATTTACATAATTCTGCATTACACTTTATGAACTATGAGAAATTTATTTATAACATCTAAAAAATTTTACAAAAATTCTTACTGTAACATTTGCAACACTTTCTACAGCTAACAAACCAGTACCCTGTGGGGTTATAGGACCTACAAAACATAAAAGTTAAATAGTACATTTACTTATGATACCAATAAAACACTGTATATTAACATTCATCATACCAAGTTTGAAGTTCCTAGGCCTAAGCGTTCTTTAGTTATCACTATTTACATTTACAAATATTTTAACTGCGGAATATGTCAATTATGAAATAAGCTGGGAAATTTGTTTATTATGCAGCAGTTTTTGTACATTATTTACAAAAAGAGAATGCATACATCAAGAATGTAACAGATGAAATGATTCCAAGTAATGCTAGCACCCATGTTTTTGAAAGATTTTATCCAAGTTTGGCATATTTAAAACTGAAAATGTTTTTTAAAAAACAGTTACAAACATACTACATGTATAATAAACTTACACTGCAAATATGAATAATTTAAATCTTATTTTTATTTTTCATGTAATTAAGAGACATATTTCAAGTTACTAACAGAAAGCAAACTTACCCCAGAAGGAAGCATTACAGTGTAGATGTTCAGGTGTGTATTTCAGTAATCTATTTCTCATATTATGATCTTGTATAGAATATAGTGGTATAGACTGAAATCTCCGCCAACCTAGCGAGATAATTAAAGGGTTTTTCGTCTTTAATATTTTCTTATGCCATCTGTGCTTTTTCAGTCTTGCCTGTAAAATACATCACATAATTCATGGCAACACATTTGAATACAAAACACTGAAACACATAAATCTAAAATCAAATTGCCTCTACATTCATCAAATGATAAGCCAAGAGTTTGCAGAAGAAATTATCTTTGACTAAAATATGCAAATTCCCTTTATAATATGAAATTCTCAACAAGGTCAACTTAAAAGAAATTATTAAAAATATTTCATCTTCGAACAATATTTTCTTGTACATATTTTCTACAATATATTTTCCTATAAATAAAGTGTAAATATCAGGTGATTCCTTCATCACCAACTAACCTGCACATATCCAACATTGTTTTCTACACTAAGCAATCCTCCAAGAATGACAGGATATGTTGGATCAAAGTTGGTGACAAACTCACTCGGCACCCCGTGGATCTCTACCCTCACATACATGCCTGGTCTGAAGCCTTCATACTGAACCCTCAACTCATCATCCATGTCCTCAAACACTGCACGATTCATCTGTTGTACAAACAATATTAATTTATTGTAGGTTTTTTAAAAGCATACTAATACTCTTGTTTAGATTTTAGGTTGTGCCAACCGTGTTAAGGTCATATGGCAACTTTCCAGCTTTACTGGTATTGGCAGACTTCAGTGGCTTATTCATGCATTATTTCAGGTACAAGGGGCCCCTAAATACAACCACTGACATTACCAGTGGTTAACTGGATAGCTTCCTCACATGAAAGAATCCAAAGTCCCTAGCATGATTCAAATACACAGCAGTGAAGGGCAATTGGTTTGAAATTAAGGCCTTAACTATTTGATTAGAGGGCGACCATACTAATAATTTGAACTATTTAATTTAGATATTCACAGAAATTAAAAAGATAAATAGATAAATTTTGATATCATCATAAAACAAAAAGCCCAAAATTTTTCATACAACGTTATCCCCATGAAGAAGAAAAATAATGATTTGCCCCTGATTTGTTAATAATAAACATTATCTACAAGTGTACATACTTTGGCCTGTTGATCAAGCTCTTCTTTCCAATTATCATAGAATTCTGTATCTCCCTTCATATCATACTGGGTGTCAAACATTTCCTTCAGTTTACGTTTCTTCTCCGCACGTCTCTCCTCTGCGGTCATGTCTGCCTTTTTCTTTTTTAACTCTGCATACAAAAAGCAGTTACTCTTGTATTTTTTGTGAAACTTTTGCTCATCTAACAGATAACATGATAGCCTCGTTATTATATCTGCTTTGATAACAAGGCGATAAAATGTTGTTGTACATGACTGTTAAAATTGTTAGGATATGACATGATTGTACTGTGAGGCCATTTTGCTAGTAGCATTGGTGGACGTCTACAATTTGGTACTCGTGTTTTAATTCTAAAATATTTTTCATAAAAAGTTGTAACATTTTGTAACTATGTCCAACTTTTGAAATATTTTTCATAAAAAGTGGTCATGAGTAAGATTCAGAAGAATATATAAACTCCATTACTATACCAATGATTTAAATATATACTAGTCATTTAAGATGACAAAATTAACTACTTAGAAAAAAAAGTTACAAGTTTTCCATTTATGTAATAAGCCCCCAATATGAAGGCTACAAATACAGACATTTATATTACATTACCTTCTGGTTGTTTCTTTCTCTCCCCATCAGAACCTATATCATCATCATCATCATCATCAGGACTATCATTATCATCATCATCATTGTCTTCTTTCTTTCCTTTGTGCATTTCACCTGTCTCAAGATCTTCAAAGTCTCCATACAACTCATCTTAAATAAAGATGATTTTACAAACTGAGAATTTGAAACAGCCATTTTGAATGTTAATTTAACTTCTTTTAAATTTATATGTATATATATGTTAAAGTCACATGGCTATGTATTGTTAGACTTTATTAACCTGTCAATTCCATACTGATTATACGGTCAATGCACAGAATATATTAATATTCGATATATGTTCGGTAAATTCCGTGAGAGGTACGCAGTAAGATGTGATTTAACTTATCTAGTTTCGATGAAAAAGTTACACTGACCGTTATAGCGCAATAGGGTACGGGTATATTTTATCTGAATGTCCAACGTGTTGTAAGATCGAGACAGAGTATGTCCAGGTTTTTTTCTTATTCATAACTATTTTCAACATTTTTGAAGTTATGGTTGTTCCGTTTTTAATATGTTTTGCACTTTTTTGTAAATACTATACTTTTGTATATAACATTGTTATATTATAACTGTTTGTTGTAATAGAATTAATTCTGAAAATTTAGTCGGATTAAAATCAATAAATGCAATTTCAGTACCGTAAAATACAATACAAAATGTGACAATTCAGTGTTTCTTAGGTGTTTCATATCCGTGTAGAAAATTTTGCAGGCGCTTGACTATTAAATAAAAAATTTCTTAAAAATAAAGAAAGAATAAGTCTAAAAAGAATGTCGAAAAAAGGGATCGAACCTCGGACCTCTCATGCATTAGGTAATCACTAAACCGACTGCGCTATTGCGGATGTTACGAGAACCTTTATTAAGCTAGTGGGAGTTATCCAAACGTTATTTATATGTTCCATATTAATTCTCGTAAAATAAACGGACACAACCGAAGTGGGATCGAATATTTAAATGAGTGCTATAATGTATTCATAATTGACAGGTCAATAAAATCAGACTATACCTAAAGGCACATGTATTAAACTAAACAGACATGAAGATATGACAAACTCCTACAGTAGGTGTTAAATATGACATTTGCGTATGTAAAAATAATGGATATTCTGTTACATTTACACTGTAAAAATTAACAATATGCACAGCAGATTTCCAGCTAAATAGAGAAGGACTGGAATTTCAATGTTGTTAAAAAACACACAACAGAGTCAGCATCAAAACTTGAACTGGCTGGAAAGTTTCCTATTATGAATAATGTTGCCACTTGCTTTATAACAGGTAACAAATCAATCACCTTGCAAAAGTTTTGATTCCAAATCTATAACTATCCACTTGAAGTTTAAATGCAAGGTTGAAAAATTATTTTACTTGACTATGTCATGGTACATAATCCATGAAACTAAGAGTCCTGTGTCCAATTGGAAATTTTTCATATTTTTTTGGTTTCATTTTATTCACATATACATATCTTATTTGTTCAATGTATGATGACTTTCCAAACATACTTGTGACAAAACCTTGACTTGAATGTATGCATTACATCAGATGTGATGTAAAATTTCTGCTTCTCATGATGTAAAGAAAAAAGGAAATCATTACTATGTATCTAAGTCAATAAATTTCATGTGTTTTGTTTAGGCCTAGTTTTGTTCGATTTTAAAGGAATAATAGCTCTATCTGGTCATTTCTTCCATAAATAAGGAATTCATAAAGTATTTACCATCTTTTTGCAACAACGCCTCAGCATCTTTATTTTCATCCCATTTACCAGTAACAAAACAGTCTGCTATCAATTCCTGTATCTGTAAGATTATATGAGCCGCGTATTGACAAAACCAACATAGTGTGTTGCGACCAGCATGGATCCAGACCAGCCTGCACGTCCCCGCAGTCTGATCAGGATCCATGCTGTTTGCTTACAAACTCTATTACGAATAGAGAAACTGATAGTGAACAGCATGGATCCTGATCAGACTGCGTTAATGCAGGTTTGTCATGCTTTTGTTTTGTCATGGATGTTGGTTTTGTCATGACGCCGCTCAATTATAGGATTATAATCATCAGTTGTTTGAAGTAAATGACATGGAAATAAACAAGGAATAGGGATAACACATCGGTAACCAAAATAAATTTAACAATCTAAATTCACATACTTTCTAGATCTACTAGTTTTCGACTATTCAATAATTCTTCATCAAGATGAAGAATTTTATAAATTTATATAAAGAAGATCTGCCTTTTTGTCTACATGTAACAAGAGCATATGTCTTTGAAGAAAGAAGTAATGTCATTTAGAAAAGAAAAATTATATACCTTATCCACTTCTAACTGTATTAGTGTATTTTTCAAGCATTTAGAACAATCTGTGCTGTTAACAGCTATCCTGTCGACAGCCTGTGCCTCGCTCTTCTGTTTCAACACCTTAAAAAGCCCTCCAATCTCATCCTGGTCTTCATCATCACCTCCCTCATCACCAACAGCTTCCTCCTCATCTATTAATATAATAATCATAAAAATATCAACTGGTTTCATTCAATCTCCTATTAACTTACTTTAAAAATAACATTTCCTTGTTTTAATGGCTTACAATGTAGCACAAGTTTAACTGTTACAGTATATTCATGTATATCACATACAGTCTGAGATTTACCTAACAACAGTTTCTTTGTATATATTAATTATTCTATTCCTAACTTCCAAAATGTACCTGTATTCTACTAAACTTTCATTCATTATTGACAGTAATACAGTAGAGGGGAAAATGACATCAGACATGGTTTTTACACAGCACCCTTACTTGCTAAGTATTAATGGTCTATAAACCCCATTCACTACCAGCCCAGAAAACCAAGCGAGTTACTGGTAATTTTATATGCATGATGGATTGTTCCAGCCGTTTAAACATTAAGTTAACTTTCATTTTCTAAATAAAGTACAATCTCCCTTCTAAAACTAATGGTAGAATTTTTACGTGCACATAATAAGCTCGTAATTTGATTCTAATTATTTCTTATTTTAATTTATGTTAACCTATTCATTAATCATAATGAATAAAAGACACCTTCCTTGTTTCCACCAATTCACTGTGGAAAGATTTTTTCCAAAAGGCAGACATGGGAGACATCTTGATTTTTGTTGAAGTGTTTGATCAAATTCACTGACACTTACAAATAATGACATTGTCTTTGACACAAACATTTTTTTACACTTAACACTTGTAGCTTACGCTAAAGTTTAGATTAATAACAACTATAGAGAAAATATTTTTCATGAAAATTAGATTACCTTTGCCATATATAAGTTTTCTGTAGTTAATTCTACCAGCTTGTCTTTGTCTGAAGTTTGCTGCTGCTTGGGATGCCAAATCATGCTTCCAGCGAAATGATCCGTCTAACAAATATAAGGTAAGTAAAATAATGTATTGTACAAATAAAAGGAAACAGTCTTTATCTTGTTTGTTTATTGTTTATCTACATTTTATGCAAATTTCAAAACATTATTGGTCACATCTCAGCAGTCTATTCATCCAAACTGGCTTTTTTGAATAACTGACCAGCGATTACCATTTTCTCCAAAAGAGTCTGACAACTAATCTACCTTGGTTTTTGAATCAGAGGTGAGAGACAAACCATCATTAGACCCTATGTCTGAGATGAACTGAGGCTGAGAAATTTCGAGGATCGAACCAGCGACCCAATATTAAAAATCCAATGCTCTCCCTATTGAACTCATCTGTCAAGACATTTTGGCTTGTCTGCTTCACGAATGGCAAGATATTTGAGTCATTTAGTTTATACAAATTTATCTTAGTTTGATTGTGTTGGAAGCTATAAACATATTGAAACATTCTCAAATCCGTTCCTGAAACCAACCAGTACTAAGCAATGAGTGTTAAAGCTCTTCCAATGGAAACTAGGATGCCCCCACACGCCACTGTTCTGTCAATCTTATGACTCTAGGTCAAATATTTTTTGGACTACATGTGCCACAAGTTGAAAACTAAAAATCAACAAAGGGCCATAATTCTGTTAAATTTGGTCGCAGCAAAAATTCCTTCCTTTACTATCATCTATACATTAAGGTTGTTTATCCCTGGAAGTTTAAGCAAAATCTGCCATCCGGTTTAAGAGGAGTTGCGTTCACAAAATTTCTACATAGTATATAGTGAAAAAATCAACAAAGGGCCCTAATTCTGTTAAATTTGATCACAGCGAAAATTTCTTCCTTTACTACCATCTACACATTAAGATTGCTCATCCCTGGAAGTTTAAGCAAAATCTGCCATCCGATTTAAGAGGAGTTGCGTTCACAAAATTTCTACATAGTATATAGTGAAAAAATCAACAAAGGGCCCTAATTCTGTTAAATTTGGTCAAAGCGAAAATTCCTTCCTTTGCTGCCATCTACACATTAAGGTTATTCATCCCTAGAAGTTTAAGCAAAATCTGCCATCCGGTTTAAGAGGAGTTGCGTTCACAAGATTTGGGGACATACGGACAGACATACGGATGGACAAGTACAACGCTATATGCTCCCACTTTGTGGGGGCATAAAAAACGCTTCCCGCGGACATTCATATTCATATACCTGGCCAACAATCCTTGGATTTCAAGTCAGACCAGTTAACCACTCAGCCATGACATAAAGAGTCATTTCCACATGACAATCAATGTTAGCAGCATTAGAGGTTGTTGGAGATGGGAAATTTTCAAATGAATATATATTTTTTGTAATTATCTTTTAAGGTTTAAAATATATCCCTGAAGATTAATCATACAAAATTTCATATTGAAAGAAACAAATTTTGCGGACAAGGTAACTAATAATAAGAAATTTGAAGAAGATTTTTAATGACAAGAGCGATCAGTAATCACATGTGTCGCCTCATGATGGCCAATTTCATGTTGGGACAAATTTTGTGACAGACGGACAGACAGTGCACAACTAGACTTGGTACTGATCATTCCTGCAAAGTTTGGATAAAATTGCACCAGTAGTTTATGAGGAGTAGTCCGGACAAGCTTTTGCGTATCTGGCAAACACAGAAAAAAAACACCTTTTTATCAAAGGGCCATAACTCAGCCAAAAATCGTTCAACCGGAAAACTCGTGCAATATGCGCAAGGACTTAGCTACAGATCAATCCTGTAAAGTTTCATTGAAATTGCATTAGTGGTGTAACAGAAGTAGTCTGGACAAACTTTAAAAATAACAAGAGCTGTCCGTAAGACAGCGCGCTCGACTTTTTTATTGCTTGCCAATAAAAAAAGTTTTTGCAGTAAAAGGCAATACAAGAATCTCTGTATTTTTAAAGTGAACTAGTTGTTTGATACCCTTGAATATTACAGCAATGTTTATATGACATAATTTATGGTAAAGTGAACAAGTGGATAGGAATGAATTTTTTTAGATTTTTTAAGTTTTTTAGTGCTTGCCTATAATACAAAACATTGACAGTTAAGGGCCATAATTCAAATAAAATCTTTGACAGAATTACCTTCTCCTGGACATGTTTGGGAATCATGATTGTAAACAAGTATTCCAACTTTCAAATTAATATCTCAAACAGTTCAGTCAAAAAGTGGACTGCGTACTAAAAACTTAACCAAGATTCTAAGTCGATAAAAGGCCTTAATTTTTAAAACAAATCCTTGACAGAGTTACCTTCTCTTGCGTACAGATGGGGGTAATGATGTGAAATAGCATTAAAAGTTTCAAAGCAATATCTCAAAGGGTTAAGGCAATAAGTGGATTTTACCCATATTCAATGTATTTTCTAAGTCAAAAAGGGGCATAATTCTGTCAAAAACCTTGACAGAGTTATGTCCTCTTGTCTGTTGATGAAGGTCGTGATGGTAAACAAGTATGGTCAGTTTCAAAGCAATACCTCCAATGGTTTTGAAATAAAGTGAGGTGGTACAAAAAACTTAACCAAGCTCAATACACTTTCTAAGTCAAAAAAGGGCCATAATTCTGTCAAAAACCTTGACAGAGTTATGTACTCTTGTCTGTAGATGGAGGTTATGATGGTGAACAAGTATGGTAAGTTTCAAAGCCATACTTGTAATACTTCTGAAATAAAGTGGGGTGGTACGAAAAACTTAACCAAGGTGTGACGCCAACGCCAACGCCGACGCCGACGCCGACGCCGGGGCGAGTAGGATAGCTCCCCTTTTCATAGAAAAGTCGAGCTAAAAATTATCAAAGGGCCATAACTCAAACAACAAGAGCACCGCTAGGCGGAGCATTATATGCCCGAAAGTGTTTTTTTTATTAAGGATGAAGCATTTGTAAGACATGGGAATTAGCTGTTCATCCTATAAAATTTTACAGATGTAGGTTGATTAATACTTAAGTTATTAATAATGACCTTAACCTTTGACCTTGTGACCCTAAAATCAATAGGGGTCTTCTACCTTATATGGACAATCATCCTAAGGAGTTTGAATATTGTGGGCCAAATGGAACTTCAGTTATGCTCCGGAAACTGTTTTCAATTTTAAGGTGACCTTTGACCTTTTGACCCCAAAATCAATAGGGGTCTTCCACCCAATATGGACAATCATCCAATGAAGTTTGAACATTTTTGGTCAAATGGAACTTAAGTTATGCTTCGGAAACTGTTTTCAGTATCAAGGTAAAAGTGACCTTGACCTTTGCCCTTATGACCCCAAAATCAATAGGGGTCTTCTACCCAATATGGACAATCATCCTATGAAGTTTGAACATTGTGGGCCAAATGGAACTTAAGTTATGCTCCGGAAACCAAATTGCTAACGGACAAATTGCTAACCGACGAAAAACTGTTTTCAGTATCAAGGTAATAGTGACCTTTGACCTTTTGACCCCAAAATCAATAGGGGTCTTGTACCCAATATGGACAATCATCCTATGAAGTTTGAACATTGTGGGTCAAATGGAACTTAAGTTATGCTCCGGAAACTGTTTTTAGTTTTAAGGTAATAGTGACCTTGGCCTTTGACCTTTTGACCCCAAAATCAATAGGGGTCTTCTACCCAATATGGACAATCCTCCTATGAAGTTTGAACATTGTGGGCCAAACGGAACTTAAGTTATGCTCCGGAAACCAAATTGCTAACGGACAAATTGCTAACGGACGGAAACTGTTTTCAGTATCAAGGTAATAGTGACCTTGACCTTTTGACCCCAAAATCAATAGGGGTCTTCTACCCAATATGGACAATCATCCTATGAAGTTTGAACATTGTGGGTCAAATAGAACTTAAGTTATGCTCCGGAAACTGTTTTCAGTTTTAAGGTAATAGTGACCTTGACCTTTGACCTTTTGACCCCAAAATCAATAGGGGTCTTCTACCCAACATGGACAATCATCCTATGAAGTTTGAACTTTGTGGGCCAAATGGAAAGTAAGTTATGCTCCGGAAACCAAATTGCTAACGGACGGAAACTGTTTTCAGTATCAAGGTAATTGTGACCTTGACCTTTGACCTTTTGACCCTAAAATCAATAGGGATCTTCTACCTAATATGGACAATCATCCTATGAAGTTTGAACATTGTGGGCCAAATGGAACTTAAGTTTACTCCGGAAACCAAATTGCTAACGGACAAATTGCTAACGGACAGAAACTGTTTTCAGTATCAAGGTTATAGTGACCTTGACCTTTGACCTTTTGACCCCAAAATCAATAGGGATCTTCTACCCAATATGGACAATCATCCTATGAAGTTTGAACATTGTGGGTCAAATGGAACTCAAGTTATGCTCCGGAAACCAAATTGCTAACAGACGGACGGACGGACAGACGCCAGGGGGTATAACATAATATGCCCTTTCGGGCATATAAAAATCATTGAACCGGAAAATGCTGACAATATGCACAACTAGACTTGGTACTGATCATTCCTGTAAAGTTTGGATGGAATTGCACCTGTAGTTTATGAGGAGTAGTCCGGACAAGCTTTTGTGTATCTGGCAACACACAGAAAAAGAAACCTTTTTATCAAAGGGCCATAACTCGGCCAAAAATCATTCAACCGGAAAACCCTTGCAATATACGCAAGGACTTGAGCTACAGATCAATCCTGTAAAGTTTCATTGAAATTGCATTAGTGGTATAAGAGCAGTAGTCCGGACAAACTTTAAAATTAAAAATTATTAAAGAGCCATAACTCTGACAAAAATCATTGAACCGGAAAATGCTGACAATATGCACAACTAGACTTGATACTGATCATTCCTGTAAAGTTTGGATGAAATTGCACCAGTAGTTTATGAGGAGTAGTCCGGACAAGTTTTGTGACGGACGGACGGACGGACAGACAGACGGACAGACGACGGAGAAGTGATCCCTATATGTTGCCACTACTCCGTAGAGGCGACACAAAAATAATTATGTAAAAAAGAATTTAGATGAACAATTAAAAAGTTTATGTCCATCCTATACATCTCACATTCTAGATTCTGTGTAATTTGGTTGTAGATAAAAATCCTTTTTATTACCTTCCTCCTCATCTTCATCGTCCATCTCTGATCCATCTTCCTCATCCTCACTCACTTCATCTCCATCACTGACATCATTATTTACAGTTTTCTCAGGTTCCTTTTCCTCCAGTGAATCCTCAATCTTCTTCTTAGCATTCAACATAAAGTAATCTGTCTCGGACAATGTCAGCAGTTTCTGTGATAATGATTTCCCACCTTTTACATTATCAGATGTATCTTTCTGTTTATCATCTCCTTCAGTTTTGCTTGGTTTAACTTCTGTTCCTTTTACAGGACTTGATTTTTCTCTAGTAGGTTTAAAAGATATAATATCACTGTCACTAGAATCACCTTCATCTGAACTATCAGAGTCAATTCTACTTGTATTTGCTTCCTGTTTATTTTTACTAGTCAATTTATCATTACCAGTTTTACTAGTCAAAGTATCATCAATATTCTGCACTGCCTCCATACTAGCAATTCTTTTGGAATTTGTTATATTATTCAATTTACTTTTCTTTACACTTTTCAGTTCACTATTAACCAATAGAGAGCTGCCATTTTTATTGTTTCTATTTACACTCTGATTTTTTTCACACTTATTACAACTGTCATCATTATCAACATCATCTTCATCATCAGAATTATCTGATTTTTTCAACTTTTTTACAGTTTGATCATCCTCTTCTCCTTCATCTGAATCAGAGTCATCAAAGGCAAGACTTGGTTCCTCAGAGATATTGCCCTGAAAATAAAACTTATGATCAGATATAGACAGATTTACATGTTTAATTTCATAGCAAAATGTTTCATATTTACATAATGTTTTTTCAACTCTTAAACAAGAGCTGACAGCTAGGATAGCATGTTTAATTATTCTCAGTGCTTGATAGTTAAACAAGAGCCTGGATAATGTAGAATTTTCTTAGTTGAAAAAGGGTCATTATTCTGTCAAACTTCACATGATAGTACCGTATAAGTGTTTTTTTCTGCGGTGACTTTATTTCTGCGTTTTCTGCGGTCAATCTCAGCACCGCAGAAATAAAAACCGCAGAATATTTCTCCATGTTTTTTTTTTTTTTTTTAACAATATGTGTCCCACATGATGACCCGTTTCCTCTAAAGTAATAACGACTAACGGATTAGTACGGTTAGCTGGTCATCGAGTGATTTAAAATTGCTTTCGGCTAAGCATGTAATATGTGCTTGTAAGAATGTACCTATTGTTAATTATGCCAATTTATGAATAAAGATATTTAAACATCATAGTGTTTGCCTGTACGCTAAAAGGTTTGTTTACCACTAAATCATTAAAACCATTTTAACCCTTATACCGCTAAATAATCGTCGTATACATTAATTGTTGTCTGATTTACGATTAACTTCTATCAATTTTATTAAAGATACTACCGGGGTATATTTTTCACACGTCATTTCACGCTGAACAAAAGATGCATACTGTCTATTGTTGCGCATTATATTTGTTTGCAAGCAAACAATATAATTGTTTGCAATTACTATATAATTTTGCGGTAACGATGATGAACATAATTTTAATGCGAATATGTACATGCAAATAAAATACGTAGAGTAATGTGACTTAGACTTTAATAAAATGAGCCGCAGAATTGAAATCACGTTTTGTCCAAAGAATGTCCCGCAGAAATAAAGTCCGCAGAAATAAAAACATGCCAAAATTTGGAAAAACCGCAGAATTTGGAGCCCGCAGAAAAAACCACTTATACGGTAATAGACCTAAGACCGTGACCTCCTATTATTCTCTAAATTAAGTGTGTGTAATTTCAACTGATTCCTTTCAGCAGTTTTGGAAATACAAACTTGCACCAAAAAAACTTAACCCAGTTAAGTTTAACATTCAGGCTTGGATGAGTAAAAAAGTTCAGAGGCTCTTATCATACTATTTTATTTAACTTCAGTACTGAACTTACACTGATTCAATATCTTCTATACAAAGCATATACTACATTTTAGGATTATGTAATATGTAACGTCTATATGAAGAATAAACGCATTCTCACTTGAACCCTGGCGTCTGTTGTGTTTATAGAGAATACAAAATGAATCCCTTGTTACTTATAGTGGTGTTACCAAAACAAAGATGTTTAAATTTAACTGGAAACCAATATTTTGCAGCTTTTGATGACAATTACCTTTCTAATCTGTTTCTTCTTCACTTTACTAGCATCACTCTCTTCTTCAGAATCTTCTTCATCATCATCATCATCTTCATCATCATCATCACTGATATCATCATTATCTTCATCTATATCATAATCTCCACCATTGTCATCATCATCTCTTTCATCATCATCATCACTGTCATCATCATCATCATCTTTAAATTCATCATCATTAGATTTCATCTTGTCTACATGTGTATCAAACACAGCTCTTCTCCTGACTCTGCCATCAGTCTCTACAGTTTCAAACTGCCTTCCACCACTGTCAATGAAAGCATTTAGAAAATTCAATATCAAATCTGTTACAGAAATGTTATGTAAGGTCATCTATGGCTTCTTAATTTTAAATGACTGAAATCAAAATCATTTAAGACATTGACAAGTTGTTAAATGATATCATAATCATAAAACATGAAAGTGTTGCCAAAAGGATAGTGCACACGTATTCAAGAGAACATTTCTGTCAACTTTTATACTGAGATTCACTACCACAGTCAATTTTAACAACAGATGTTTGAAAAACATGCATATTTCACTCGTTAGAATGTGCACAGTTTCATGCAATTTTGCTTGGCAACAGTTTAAGCATAAAAGGTCAAAGTGTGACCTTGACCTTTAACCCTTGACCCAAAATTGTTCGTAACTTTGACTTTTAACCCTGACACCTGTGAAATTTGAGGACCAAAAGCCGATTGGTGGTAGAGTAATTGGTCATTAACCTTTTTAACATACAAAGTCATACCAACTAAGAAAGAGACGAAAATTTAATAATACTCTGACAAATCATTTCTAACATGTACATGTATAAGCTTTTATTAATTGTGACAAGGCAAATGACCTTTCTTTCATCATAAATTACTTGATATTTAATGATAGGTTTCACTGATAAAAAAAAATCAAAAATATCATCCATACCTATAATCATCATCATCATCATCTTCATCATCATCAATGATCATTTCTGAGCTTTTAATTCCACCAGAAAATAGTGAAACCTCTGATGTTGTCATTTTCTTATCCAATGGGTTGTTAAGAGACATCATTGATGAAACAAGCTCATTCATTGGTTGGGGAGCATCTTCATCCTGTCCAATCAAAAACAAGATTTAAATTTTGAAATTTGTTATAACTGAACATTTCAATATTTTTTTTTACAAACAATTTTCTACTTTCTGGCCCAAGGTTTGCATCATTTAATTGTTTTAAACATATGCAGGTATCTTAGTATAATTTGCTTGAAAGCTTTTTTTCATTGAAGAATTAAGAACTGGAAATAGACCAAAAGAAGAAAAATATTCAATTATTTACATGTTATAACATACATAAAACACAAAATCTGGTATTAAAATATGCATCATTTCTGTGTAGTATTTGTCCACTTTTATCTGTTGTGTGTGTTATATGTGGTAAGAAATTCATGGTTCTTAAAAAATATTTTTTTCTAACTTCTGCACACTGTTTGCTTTTCCCGCCACGCTCATTCTTACAGTCATTCTCTTATAAATTAATACATTACATTTATTTGATTAATATTTACAAAGATTAATTGGGTTTACTTATTTCAATTTACATTGATATATTATGGTACAATCACTGTGGTAAGAAATCATATCAAGATTATGATACTTATTGAATTCTTATTCCGTGTTGATTGTGTATATATTGTTGTTTGATTGTATTTTGTTTTTATTTGTATTGTATTTATAGGTTGTATAATTATTTTATTATCTTTTTACACCATTTTTACTTGGTATTTAAATATCGAACCTATGCCAGAATTGGTTTCAATACACCCTTTATCTGATATATTTAACGTTTGTTTCTGAGGCAAAATGTGCCTATAAAGAAGGAAGGAATCAGTAAATTCTACCCACCCTCTGAGCATCTGTATGCGAATGACTTCCACCAAGGTCAATATAAACGGCATCCTTATCATACACGATACCACCAACACCAGACATTGGTGCATAAATCAGTCTATCTTTCTGACTTAGAGATCGTTTCTTCTGTTTCTCTGGTGTCGGACATGGATCAGACAAGAATTGTAAATCATGTATAGAGAAATCTCCACAGCCGGGAATGTGAACATTGACGTTGTTCTTCATGTGTGTGCCGTGCAAGTACCCGTACAGAGATATGTTGCGATCTGTTTTACTAAACTGACGTACTGTCTCAGGATCAGATATATCTTCCATTCTGAAGTACAGAAAAAATATTATACTATCCTGTAAAGAAAATTCATTGTTTGTTAAAATGCCTTTTAGTCATGTACTTTTCAGACTTTTCACTTAAACATAAAAGCTTTATGACATAATAGCAGTCAAAAAGGAAGTCTACCAGTGAAACATTGACACATATATCCAAATAAAAGTTTAATTTCAGGTTGCTAACTTCTTATCACCTAATTCTGACCATCCTTAGTTAGACTTTACCCATTGGTGTTAAATGCTTTGATGTGAGAATGTTATAAGGCTAACTTGTAGAAGGTAGATCATTCTATTAACTTTAATATGTCCATTTCCACATTAAAATGCACAATGGAACAGCTGTAGTCTTTCTCCACTGTTACAAGTTAAGCTTGAAAGACACCAAAATGTACTGTACGTGTGTGACTAATATTACTTCCAAATAAATTGGGCAGCGTCATGACAAAACCAACATAGTGCGTTTGCGACCAGCATGGATCCAGACCAGCCTGCGTATCCGCGCAGTCTGATCAGGATCCATGCTGTTCGCTATCAGTTTTTCTACTTGCTATAGGGTTTGTAAGCGAACAGCATGGATCCTGATCAGACTGCGCGGATGCGCAGGCTGGTCTGGATCCATGCTGGTCGCAAACGCACAATGTTGGTTTTGTCGTGACGCGGCTCAATTGTATTCACCTGTCAGCCAGAATATATGGATGAGTTGTTCTCCAGGTCAAAGGTCGGAATTTCATCACAGATATAAACCTACACAGATTGTGAACTTCTGTCTTTTGGTATTCTCCATTTACCATACCAGACAAGTAAAACAACTTTGCTCCCTGAATAGATAATGATTAAATAAAACATTAAGCACCAATAATTACTTCCCTTTGTCATGCCATAAATTTTGATATCAATAAATCCTTTTAATTATCAATGGACAGTTAAATTTCAAAGCAACTTGGTCAGCAGGGTAAAATTTAAAATTAAGTTCTAATGATGTTTTTTCCCCATCCACTGTTATCATTGGTTAATTAAGAATTTGATTTTAAACAGATTGAAGACAGGTAACCTTAGGAACTGTGGACTGAAACACATTTCCATGACCTTTCATCACATAAATTATATGAAACTGAGGATAGTTAGAACTAGGAGAATTGTTGATAAAACCTGCATTCATGCCTCAAAACCCAAACTTTCACTGTATACTGATGCTTTACATACAGTTCTAACTGAACTAGGGTTTATACAGAAATTTGAAATTAAAGTTCAATGTTTTTCTATGATACTCTCATAATCTTAATTGTTTACCCATAATACAGAGGCCAATTTGTACAACATGATGGTATTTTCAAATATTGTGTTGCATAATTTTTAATTAAGGAAGTTGTGTTGACAGTTGCAAGTCCTAAAATTTGTTTCATATTTTTTACGATAAAAGAAATGTTCCTGTTAAAAAAGGCTTTAGATAGGTTAAAAAACACTCAATTGGGGATAATGCTTGATTTTTATGGTTTTTTTCTTCTCTCAATATACATGTAATACCTTCTGTAAAACAGTTATTAGGGAGATTCTTAAAATGTTATGATAAAATTGAAGAGGATATTTTGATGATAACAGTCGTCTGTCAGAACACGGTTACACAGCTTTATAGATAGATCATCATGCACAACATGGCTGGCAAATTTTTATTTTTACTTACTTGTCAGTTTTTATCTGAAGCATGTCATAACTTGTCCATATGATATTCATATAGTGAATCCTTGAAAATTTTCACTTGCTCGTACAGGCTGTGGGACAACCTGGACAATAAGGGCAATTGATTTTGCCGCCCCTGTGTAACATTTTATACCTGATACACTTCCGTCCAGAACCTATGTTTAAGCCTCTTCTTTGTCTTCCGCAACTTCTTACTGTCCTTAAACGAGTCCAGATGTGTCAACACTCCCATAATTCTCGGAAATCCATGAACTTGACAGATGTTTAAAAATTCAAACGTTTCCATCTCAAAACCAAAACTTGCATCCACCAGCAGTAAGACCTATCCAATCGTATATTAAATTTTTAAAATGTTGCCCGTAAATTGGAAATATTGAGTATAATACAATGTAGACAACTTTATTATGTGACATAATTATTTTATCTTCATTTATGCCCATTCTTATATATAATTAAAAGGTTATAAATTAGATGGAAGTGAAAATTACCTATAAATGTAAATTATGGTACTGAATGCTGTAACTGAAGCACCTAACAGTAATTAGTGTAAGTATATTAGCACAGTGTCCTGTGCCTCAAATTTGACTGGAGGTAGATTAATCTATAGCACATACTGAATAAAACTACCTTAGAGGAAAAAATACCTGTCATCATCTTTATCAATATTATTTTGAAATACAAAATACAAAAGCAAGAGTATCCAGATGTTTTGTTAGTGGTTTCTAGCCAAGTGCCCGCTTGTGTCTGGCAAAAAAAATACACCAGTGACCTTCCTCCGGCAGTAAAGCTGGCAAGTTGCCATGTCACCTTAAGGGTACTGGTCAGATTTAAAATTCCGACAACAAATTAACTAGAACATAAAAGAAGTCTACAGTAAAATAAGAATCAGTTACCAAGTCCGCCACTTTAGCAATATCAATCATAGCACTAATGTCATTATTACATTCTATAATTGTCAAACGTCTCTGTTTTCCTGTAATATATAAACAAGCCTCAAGATTAGTTTTACTTAATTCTGTATAGTATATCCAAAAGAAATCATTCAAATGTGTTCAAGCACGCAAACTTGTTGTGCGATTCATAGTAACTATCAAAGTCCAATATTCATCTAAAAAGCGGTCTATTGGCAAGATTTATTTTGTAAAAGCTTTGTGAGGTTGGCACTTATAAAGTATTTCACAAGACATCAAACAGTCAAAACATGTAGAAAAATCAATTATGATTGGGTGTAAACCTTGATTCAAAATAATTGATATATCTATTTGAAGTCTCTTTTATAAAAAGTGAGTTATACTGGTTATATCTCACACACAATATTTCTATTTTTTGATAAGCATTAATTTCCTTTTACAAAATAATACATGTATTTCACTTACATAAAGTCATAGAAATATAACAGAAATAACATATGAGCCGTGTCACGACAAAACCAACATAATGGGTTTGCGACCAGCATGGATCCAGAACAGCCTGCCCGGATCAGTTTCTCTACTTGTAATAGAGTTGGTAAGTGAACAACATAGATCCTGATCAGACTGCACGGATGCGCAGGCTGGTCTGGCTCCATGCTGGTCGCAAACCCAATATGTTGGTTTTGTCATGACGCGGCTCAATTATAATAGTCACCTGAAACAACTGTTACTGGTCCTTGTATTTTAGTAAGACGTTGTTTAGTGAAGTTTTTCACCACACATTTCAGTAATGTAGTTTTACCAACTTTAGGAGGCCCTACTACACCGACTATGATCGGGGGAGGTTCTAATGGGGTCCGGTCAACAACTGGTATATGCTGTTTCTTTGTCTTTAAATCTTGTGTCCTTTCAAAATAAAAAGATAAAAATAAAATAATAATCAATTTTTTTTATTTCCTCTGTAACCAATTTCTGCTTTTTGTTTTTAAATTTATTTACTCAACAAACAGTCTGCAACAATAAAGATACTCAAAATAGGATTTATTTCAAAATAAAGCAAAACTTCTCTATGCTTGACTATTTTTAAGCATATTCGAAGTGATCCAAAATCATATTTTTAATAACATATTATAAATAGCCTTTACCTTCACACTGACTAACAATATTATAACATAGCAAGATGCATATAATCTAAATGTTATATCACATATATTTTCAGACCAAGGAGAAAATAAATTAAAATGATTTACATATATTATCAATTTATAATCAAAATTTCAGAGATAATAACTTAAAATTGCCTTAAAGTTACATACATGTACATCATAATCATAAGCCTTTGAATAAGTGAACTTTAGATTGCTTATTTTTATGGAAAAATACTTTAGGCCTGTTCTTACTCTTCACATTTCTAACACTTATAATTCTTTCAATTGTGCAAGGTCTCTTGGAAAGTTTAATCTAAGAAATAATAGGGCCTAATTGCAAAACACTGGCAGCCAAAATTATGGTATCTACAGAAAGATAAAGAGGATATTTGTTGATATAGCATGTAATATTGAAATATATTCAAAGTGAGTGAGAACGTCAGATGTAATATTTTCAAGAGTAGCTATAAAACATAATTTGATTTTACATAGAAAACAAACAAATTTACTTTTTTTTGTGTATTTCTAAGGGGTTTTAAGTCGTAATTACTAATTTTTGACACATAAAGACGTGCACCCTCATTTTTGGTTATCACCAAAACATGATGTCACATTGATCTTTTTGAAAAAAAATTCTGTAAAATTTAACAACTTTTAATAAAGTTTTAAATGATATGTGAAGGTATTCATAAGCTTCTGGTATCAAGCACGTTTTACCCACAACGCAGAGTATTTCTGACAATATTTCCACTTAGTTACGATATACTTTTTTTATTCATAATAATTATTATTCAGATATAGTCCTGGCACTGTGAAAATTATATTTTGTTTTTTCATTGTGAAGTTATCAAAATATAATTTCAGTCTACTGAAAAACATGTAACAATACGCTGGCAAGTCTAGTCTTACACAAGTAACATAGACATCATATTATTGAAGCAGTATGGGGGTATTATATTACTGTTTATAATTATACAAGTCCTTAAACTACATCAATACATATAATGTAGTGTTTGTTGTTGTCGCTATATTTTACCTTTGAACAGTTTTCAATGCCTTGTTGGCATGCTGTATAGAAAAAGCTCTTGGGTTTCTCTGCTGAGCGGTCAAGTTTTGATCAATTCCAGGGCCTTGCTTGGACTTCTTCCTTTCAGCTTTAGGTCCTGACAACTTTTTCCTGTGAGCTTTTTTGTTGTCTGATTGTTCATCCATTTTGAAACTGTATAGAAATATGATGTCTGTGTTAAATATGCTCTATTCAATGAATCAATTATCAAATAAATTTGATATCTTTTTCAATACCAGAAGATATGCTGGTTAATTTTAAAAAAAATGTTGTTTTTTTTTGAAGATTTTTAACTTTTGGAGGCCTGGTAACTGCACAGTCGTTAATTTGTAAACTCAAGGCAGATTTTGTAAAACTGTCTTCCCATCCCCCATCAAGTGAAATGACAACAATTATATACATGTACATGCATAATATAATATACATATATGTTTACTTTTCTATCCAAATCATTATGTTATGTATATTTTCATAAATAAACATGAAATTTATGTAGAAATGGATAATCTGTAAATGTATCATGAAATATTTACCTAAACATAAATTATGATTTCAGATGGTTCAAAACTTGTGCTAAAATCCTGGAGAAAAGGTACTTATTAATGTTGTAGAGGGGAGATATTAACCAGGTCAAGGTCAAGAATTTCATGATATTTACGGACAGTCAGTAAATTTATGGACCATCTTCAATTTCTATAGATTTTTTTATCTGTCAATTTATAGACATTAAATACGAAAATAGTATAAGTTGACAACTTAAAGTTGTATTAAAATTCAAAAACCGAAGGTTAAAAAGAATAAGATTACTGATTATATGATTAAATGTAACAGTATGGTAAGATTCAGAATAATTTGATGACTTTCAATTTTTACTTATAACAAAAATTTCAAAGTCATCATACAAAGATAAAAATTATGTCATTACCTAACCATTAACCAATCATTATAATAACTTGTTTTAAGCCGAGAATTTTAGTATAAAACTAAAAACAGCAAATTTAACATTGCATATCTGTAAATTTATGGACTGAAAAATCTTTAAATTTCTAGACTATCCATAAATTTTAATATGGAAATTGCATAAAAATCATGAAAAACCTAGACCTGTTGACCATATACACAAAATATCACAATATCTCATCGCATACTAGTACAATTAGTTAAACTAAGGTTGTTCGAATGGTATATAGTCCATATATAGGATAAGTTATAATAATCTGTAGTTGCTGTGAATAACCTATAACACAGGGATGTCTATGGCGCGATGTTCGAGAGGGGGGTGTCTTTGATTAGTATTTTGTATTCTGTTTCATTCGGCACAAGCCAAGGTGTTATCAGTAATAAAAAAGCCCCAGTAATAAATCGACTGCAATAAGTAAAACATTTTACGCACATTGATGATATGTTTAAGACCCATGTCTTTCACAACTATAAAAATGCAGTTTTGAATATTTTAATAAATAGTTAAACCTAACTCTATCCGAATTAGCTTAAGGTCTTCAGCGTACCCGTTTATATATATGACATGACGTGAATATGCCGCATCTGATGAAAAACAAAAATGTTAAAAAGCGGCTTATAAAGTTTTGGAAGCCAGAACTATATCCGAATATATGGTTTCTTTTAAATAAATAAGCTTTTATTTCCATTATTAACGAGTCTCTGGAATGATAACTGCTAAGAATATTCGGTTAAACTATTTATACTTCTCTTTACACAATGTTGTTAAAGTCTGAGTATAAATTGGAGCTATTTGCGAGTAACAGAAAAATACGGTAATCACTTTATGACATCCCTTTCCTGGAGGAGGCGGAGTTTCGAAGTCACATGCTTATGACATCACAGAAAAACAAGATGGAGGCTTCCGGAATGGAGGCGCGGGAAATTGTCCAGAAAAAATACCATTTTTCTGGTTCAAACTCCCTTCAAAAATTGGGAGACATCATCTTTCAACACGAGAAACAAACCAACTCTCTTTTCGTGTAAGTAAAGACCCGTAAATAAGCTTAAGATACCCTGTACGTTTCATTCTATTATTGTCAATTTTGTTAGAAATTATACTGAAAAGCGAACGGAACAAATACGCGGAAAGTGTTACTGGACACACAGGGACCCCTCATGACCTCCCCACTCACAGGCACTAGACACAATTATTTTACCCATATACGCTCATAATACTATATATATAAAGAATATTCTTTATAATGACTAAATGAGCATATATGGGTAAAATAATTGTGTCTAACTTGCCTGTGTCCCCACTGGCACTGTAGAGAACTCTCTGTATTTGTGCGATATTTTGCAGACAGTTTCTCCCCATTTTATTTAAAAAGATCGTTTTTTTCTTATTTGATATAAATGGGTTGACGTAGCCTACAGAGCCCCCTCTTGACTAGATCTACAGGATTGAGACAACTCAGCCCTATACCTGTATACCAGCTCGGCACGGGTCAACTCGGCCAACTTAAAAAAAAACATTAATTTTGTTCTGATTTATTACTTGCATGTTATCAAGACCATCTAATCACAGGAACCTGAAATTATATCCAAAACAAAAAAATAACGATTTAAAAAAAAATCACATACTGGTTGGGGAGATAACTTCGGCTGGTTGATAAACTCGGCTTTTTATAATTAAAACGAGTTATCGGAATTTTTAATCTAATCAAGCTCACCATCTCATACTATCGCTGGAATTCGACAATATCTGGAAATTTTGTCAAGTTTGGTAAGATATTAAAAAAATAACACAGAATTCGACAATATCTGGAAATTTTGTCAAGTTTGGTAAGATATTTAAAAAATAACACAGACTTTTACCTGTTTGTTTACAAAACATGCCTATAAAAAGTACGGGAATTCCATTGTTGTGCACATGTGCAGCAGCTGCTTATTTTCAGGCCCGCACAGGGGTACTTTTATATATTGACCGACTACCGATAAAGCAGATACATTTTGTAGATGAAATTCAGACTCACTTTTGTCTTGCTAACTCAGAAAAAAGGCTGATTGCACAATTGTAATCTTTAAGTGGAATGGATTGAAAGACTGATGTTAAATGCTCCTTTTATATGTTAATGTGTAGGTTGAATACCACTAAATAATTTCTTCTTCACTCTGTTAAGCTAGGCAAAAATTAATTTGAATCACTAATTTTTTAACTACATATTTCGTTATACGTTAATAAATGATAATGCATGTGTTTTTTACGTAAAAATGATTTTTATCATGCAACTGCTATGGTAACTGCCCGATAACACTTGCCTGATAATTATTTTTGATATCAGGTCAGTAACCTGATATCAAAAATAAGCCCCGCCCATGTTAACGGACTTTTTTCAATTGCTTATATTCTCATTTTCATCAGCATGTGAATTCTACAATGTAATCTCATTCCCTTACAAGTCTTGAATCAAGGTGTGATATTTATTTATTTATTATTTCGATTTCAATTACGAATAAATTAGATAGCGAATAGTTTGAAGTGACGTCATAATTTATATTGCAAATGACATCATCGATGTTCACATCATACTATACATGTAATCATAACAAACAGGCTAGACAATTTTCTTTGAGAACTTGTAAATGTTTACTTTATTTCGCCGGATTATTATTTAATAAGTGAACAAATTGTTTCGTTTGAAAAATATGACGCATGTTTGTGTAGCTTTTGTTTGATTGCCGATTTGACTTTTCTTTGATTGAAATAATTGAGAACTTTTGAATTTGACAATTCAAGACAAAAATTGCAGTAAAGTTTAGTTTATGTGATTCTAAGCGGATTTTTGGATCGATGTTTAAATTAAAGGTAAGAATGTTATCGTATTAGGCCTACATTCTGTTGTATCTTTTATCCGAGTCGAAAGAAAAAAATGGCCGCCAATTACAAATTCTAAGTTTCAGGGGCGGAGGAATTTGTTTTCAAGAATTATTTCTTTGAACAAAAATCCCCCTTTTTAACGAAATTCGCTATTTAAAAGTAGATTATTTTGTTATTTTGACAGTTATTATGTGTTACATGATAAATAGAAAAACATGCTACTGTCTTTTGATATCAATTTTATCAGGCTCGGCTGATATGGGCAGAAAGGGCTCGGCAAGCCTCGCCCTTTCTAGCCCATATCAACCTAGCCTGATAAAATTGATATCAAAAGACAGTAGCATGTTATTCTCTATATATGTTACATAGTACGTTGCATATAAATATCGTGTTATCATATCTATATTCATTATACTAACGTAATGCTCAACAATTTTTGTAAAAAATATTTTTTATTTGACATAAATGAACAGCAAAGAAATAATAAAATGTCTAAACATGTTATTTTACGGTTTAACTTACTCATTTAAGAAGAAAAACAAAGAGCCGGAATTATCTACTCGCGCGCGTTAAAAATATCCTTTTTACGTACCTCTTCCAGGGCCTCTCAAAATTACCCGTTATGTTTCTAAATATAACTTTTATGGTGATACCGGAAAATCGAAGAGCTGTAGTTTATTATGGTGCAAGATTCATCAGAATACGTAAACAAATAAATGAGATATGCCCCAAAAACACCGATTTTCGGCCGAGTTTATCTCCCAAACCAGTATATATACTATAATTTATGGGATTTTTTTTTAAATCGTTATTTTTTTGTTTTGGACATAATTTCAGGTTCCTTAGCTAAAGATACTTCAGCGAACAGGTTTTATAGTTCTGCTTGACCTTGAAAGCAGACGCCATATTGGGAAACAAATTCTATTTATTTTTCTTAAAAATAGGTGGGTATATGATGATATTTAGGTTTTATAATTAATGAGAGCAGTGAATAGATGCAAAATTTATTTGTTTATCAAATGGTAATATTTATTTGACACAAATTTGATTGATAAAGGTGATTTAAATGGTTATATATGTACTGTTCACAAACTGCCAAAATTCTGGTAGCCTTTGCAAATAGGGTTGACCCATAACTTTACTGTCGCAACGTCAAAATAAAAGCGACATATAAAGTTATGGAAGCCAGAACTACAGGTTCCTGTGATCTAATGTATTTTAAATGAAAAATAAGAGATACCTGCAGATCAGGTATACTATTATTATTATTGTATTATATTATACATAGGATGGTCCCCTATGGTACCACTGTTCTTATTATTTCCAGCAAATTGTGCAAATAAAAAGAACTTGTATTTACTATTTTTGTGTCGCCTCTACGGAGTAGTGGCGACATATAGGGATCACTTCTCCGTCGTCTGTCTGTCCGTCTGTCTGTCTGTCTGTCTGTCTGTCCGTGCGTCCGTCACAAAACTTGTCCGGACTACTCCTCATAAACTACTGGTGCAATTTCATCCAAACTTTACAGGAATGATCAGTACCAAGTCTAGTTGTGCATATTGTCAGCATTTTCCGGTTCAATGATTTTTGTCAGAGTTATGGCCCTTTAATAATTTTTAATTTTAAAGTTTGTCCGGACTACTTCTCTTATACCACAAATGCAATTTCAATGAAACTTTACAGGATTGATCTGTAGCTCAAGTCCTTGCGCATATTGCACGGGTTTTCCGGTTGAATGATTTTGGCCGAGTTATGGCCCTTTGATAAAAAGGTTTCTTTTTCTGTGTGTTGCCAGGTACACAAAAGCTTGTCCGGACTACTCCTCATTTACTACAGGTGCAATTTCATCCAAACTTTACAGGAATGATCAGTACCAAGTCTAGTTGTGCATATTGTCAGCATTTTCCGGTTCAATGATTTTTGTTTGAGTTATGGCCCTTTAATAATTTTTATTTTTAAAGTTTGTCCGGACTACTTCTCTTATACCACTTATGCAATTTCAATGAAACTTTACAGGATTGATCTGTAGCTCAAGTCCTTGCGCATATTGCACGGGTTTTCCGGTTGAATGATTTTTGGCTGAGTTATAGCCCTTTGATAAAAAGGTGTTTTTTTCTGTGTGTTGCCAGATACACAAAAGCTTGTCCGGGGCGGACTACTCCTCATAAACTACTGGTGCAATTTTATCCAAACTTTACAGGAATGATCAGTACCAAGTCTAGTTGTGCACTGTCCGTCTGTCTGTCCGTCTTTCACAAAATTTGTCCCAACATGAAATTGGCCATCATGAGGCGACACATGTGATTACTGATCGCTCTTGTATTGAATTGTGTTTTGTTGTGGCATCTTGACATTAAAATACACATGTCACTCATTGATAAAAATAACTCCAAAATTTAAATTAGAAACATCAATGGTCAGTCAGCCATGTTTTGAATGGGAGCTTACTATACTACATTGTATCTAATCTCATGCAAACTAGTAAGTTAAATCGGCCCAAAGTCAGATCGGCCCCAAGTCAAATCGGCTCAAAATCAGTCAAATCGGCCTCAAAATTAGTCAAATCGGCCACACAACAATTTTTAAAAGTCAAATCAGCCCCAAAACTAGTCAAATCGGCTCCAAAACTAGTCAAATTGGCCCCAAAACTAGTATCAAATCAGCCCTTAAGTTATTTGTTGGTTATTGAAAATGACTGACAATTGTATAGACTGTGGAAGTGTTGTGAGGAAACGGCAGGAGGCAGTCACTTGTGATGCTTGTGACAGATGACAATATAGGAAGTGTAATACCGGTGAGTTACTTTAATTGACAAAACTTATCAGGAATAATAATAATAAATTTTATAATGAACACTTTATTTCATGAAGAAATACAAATCTTATTTACAATATATTTAAAATATATTTACAATATGAGTAAAAATATTGCCATTACATTTGAAAATA